CACCACAAAAGACTTACGGACTTAGATCTTCTCCTGTTGAGAAATTATTGTGGTCTTATCATGTGTTTCAAAACTATAGCGTTTTGAGGCACAACAACTCATCATTATTATAACCTTTCAAAAATAAAAAATAAAAATTATAATTTTTATATTTATTCTCTTTTTCCTCTTTCTCCTTCCATATCTCTATCTATAATTTTTATATTTATTCTCTTTTTCCTCTTTCTCCTTCCATATCTCTATCACTCTATTTTCTCCACCTCTTACACCCCCACCCTCTAATCATGGTCATATTCACCTCTTACACCTCCACCCTCTAACGATAGCCATCACCCTCCCCTCTCAGCCTCCTACCATCACCCCCCTCCACCAATCACCATATTTATAGATGCGTATATCTTGGTAAGGCTGTGCACATAAACCCATATGTATAAATATAATTTGAAAAAGAACTGATATATCCATGCAAATACAGCCGTGAATCAAAACATATATATAAAATCACACATTGTTCTTCTCTGTTGAAAATTCTTTAATTTTTTTCAATTAATTTTCATCACGTTGATTTATTTTGAGGGCGGATTAATATTCTAAAAACAAAACAGACTATTTAAAAGAATGAACAAAAACCGCTTTAATTAGTTTTAAGTGACTGCCAATTATGCCTCCAAACGTCAACTTGATTTCCACCACACAATCAAAGGGATCCCGATCCAAAGACCTTCTCATCATATATGTGACACAATTTTATTATGACATATCAAAATTGAATAAATACCATCCAAAGAAATAGGCCCATTCCATTTCTTTTTATCTTTATTTTTTAATTAACAATCAAAGATCATGTATATAGTGCATGTCGTCATCCCAACTATATATATATATATATATATATATATATATATATATTAGTAAAAGGCACGTGCGATGCACAAGATGAATGTTTTATAACTTATTGAAATTTTTTTCATATATTTTTCAATTATTTTATAGAAATTATTTTGTTTTATTTATATATATCCTTGTCTAATTAGATTTTCTTTTATTAAAAAACTCATAATAAATCGGTAAATACTGATGTTATATGTGATAAAGTTTTATTTTAAAATTAATTAATAAATATTTTTTTATATTAAAAAATAAATACTGAAATGCTAAAACTCGTTACACTTTTATATTTTATTTATATGTATTATTATATTATTATATCTTTTCTTTAAATATATCATTGTCTAATGTGATAGAGTTTTATAGAAAATAAAATAGGTAATTTGTGGTAGAGTTTTATAAAATAATTTGCCATTTGTGGTAAAGTTTTATAGAAATTATTTTATTTTTTTTTAAATGTATCCTTGTCTAATTAGATTTTCTTTTATTAAAAAACTCATAATAAATAGATAACTACAGGTTATATGTGATAGAGTTTTAAAGAAAATAAAATAATTAATTTGTGGTAGAGTTTAGGTAATTTGGGGTAGTGTTTTATAAAAACTCTTTTAATATATCCTTATTTAATGTGATAAAGTTTTATTGAAAATAAAATAGGTAATTTGTGATATAATTTTATAAAAATTATTTATTTTCTTTAAATATATATATCCTTGTCTAATTAGATTTTCTTTTCTTAAAAAACTGTAATTTGTGTTAAAGTTTTTGAAAAATTATTTTATTTTTTATATTAATTAATAAATGTTTTTATACTAACAATTCTTGTCTAATTAGATTTTCTTTAATTAAAAAACTCATAAATTGATAAATCGGTAATTTGTGTTAGAGTTTTATATAAATTTTTTTAAAAATTTATTTTCTTTTCTTTAAATATATCCTTGCCTAATTAAATTTCCTTTAATTAAAAAATTCATAATAAATATATAAATACAGGTTATATGTGATAGAGTTGTAAAGAAAATAAAATAAGTAATTTGTGGTAGAGTTTTATAGAAGTTATTTTATTTTCTGTAAATATATTCATAATAAAGAGATAAATACAAGTTATTTGTGATAGCGTTTTATTGAAAATAAAATAGCTAATTTGTGATAGATTTTTATAGAAATTATTATTTTTTTTTAAAATATATTCTTGTCCAATTAGATTTTACTTTATTAAAAAACTCATAATAAATATATAATGTGATAGAGTTTTATAGAAAATAAAACCGCTAATTTGTGGTAGATTTTATAGCTATCATTTTATTTTCTTTAAATATATTAGTTTTTAATTATATTTTTTTATTAAAAAATTCATAATAAATAGATAAATTGGTAATATGTATTGGAGTAAATCTTTTTAAAACTCTTTTTATATCAATTAATAAATAATTTTTTATATTAATAATTCTTGTCTAATTAGATTATCTTTTATTAGATTACCTTTTATTAAAAAAACTCAAAATAAAAGATAGTTTGTAGTAGAGTTTTAGAAAAATAATTTTATTTTTTATATTAATTAATAAATAGTTTTTATATTAATAATTCTTGTCTAATTAGATTTTTTTTATTAAAAACTCATAATAAATAAATAAATAGGTAATTTGTGTTCAAGTTTTATATACAAATCTTTTAAAATCATTTAATAAATATTTTTTTATATTAATAATTCTTGTCTAATTAGATCTTCTTCTATCAAAATACTCATAATAAATAGATAAATTGGTAAATTGTGTAAGAGTTTTATATAAACTCTTTTAAAACCTCTTTTTTATATCAATTAATAAATTTTTTTTTTATATTAATAATACTCGTATAATTAGATTTCTTTTTATTTAAAAAAAAACTCATAATAAATAAATAAATAAGTAATTTGTGTAATTTGTGTTAGAGTTTATAGAAACTCTTTAAATATATCCTGGATCTTTTGCTCCGTCAAATAAAGTTAAAATCGGCATGGAAAACATCCTTGGATTTGGAGCGTGTGCAGTGATTTAGTTAACTTTCAACCCTGAAAGTTCAAGTTTGCGAAATGTTCAATGTTATACAACATTGAGAAGGAATGGAGAACAAAGCTGCAATTGGTTGGCATTGATCACATCACACATTTATATTGCTTATTATAGTTATATACTTCGATTTCCTTTCCCCATTGGTATCAATTCCTTCCCAGAAAGCCTCCAAAATAGGATTCTTGTTTTTGCATCTTCTGGAAGCACTTTCTGTTCAACCTGCATTTTACCTGCATTTCTATGGTCACGCGTGATCATCGGTGACTGATGCATTGTGTCGAATGATCTGTCCGCAGTTGATTCCCTGTGGTGGAGTTAGAAACACTTCGAAAGAATAATTGTCTGATATTTGGCTTGCTTTTGCTTTGATTCTATCAGCAACACACAAAATATAAAAACAGTCTTAATAATTAAAATTCAAGATTGAAACAAGACACAAAATATAAAAACAGTCCTCCTCGTAATTAAATTTATTATATTAAGAGAACAATAACAATATTCAAATTTAATCAAGAAAAAATTATAATTACAACCCAGATATATAATAATAATAATAATAATAAATTAATGAATTACTTTACCGATAGGGGGTGGGATAACACGTACCTTGCAAAAAAAAAAGGCTTCGATCTTGGCAAAACTTGGACTAATAAGAAGAAGAAAAAGACAATTGATTAGATTTTTTTATTTTTGTATACAGTAAATGTAGCAATATATATAATAAAACAATGCATAATCAAAACATAAGATTAATAACAATAAGAAGAAGAAAAAGACAACTGATTAGGCTTTTTTTATTTTTGTATACATTAAATGTAGCAATATATATAATAAAACAATGCAGGATCAAAACATAATATTAATAATAAAACAATGCATGATGAAGACATAGCAAATGAGTTACTCTACAATAGGGGATGGGGGTGACACGTACCTTGCGACAAACAGAAAATTGACGTGATTAGATCAAGGCAAAAAAAGACTTATATATAGAGAAAGTATAGATTTAATTAATATCCAAAATGGACTTTTTTTCTCCCTCGCTATTAGGTTTTTTATTTCTTATTTTTGAATTATCCTGTTAGGTTTAATAGTAGTATGATATAATAATCAGAGTAGTAGTATAGTAGGAGGACTGTTTTTATAAATAAATACTTCTTTTATGAGGAGGATTCTTCCGTAGTAGTATGATATAATAATTAGAGTAGTAGTATAGTAGGAGGACTGTATATATAAATAAATACTTATATTATCAGAGTAGTAGTATAGTAGGAGGACTGTTTTTATAAATAAATACTTCTTTTATGAGGAGGATTCCTGTTGTAATTGTGAATTTTAATTATTAGATTTTGATATTTCTTATTTTTGAATTATCATGTTAGGTTTAGTAATAGACTGTTTTTATAAATAAATACTTCTTTTATGAGGAGGATTCTTGCGTAGGAGGATTGCATATATAAATAAATAATAATTAATTAATAAATATATTTTTGAATTATCGTGTTAGGTTTACTGGTAGACTGTTTTTATAAATAAATACTTCTTTTATGAGGAGGATTCGGATTGCAATTGTGAAATTTAATTATTAGATTTTGATATTTCTTATTTTTGAATTATCGTGTTAGATTTAGTAATAGTATGATATAATAATCAGTGTAGTAGTACAGCAGGAGGAATGTTTTTATAAATAAATTCTTCTTTTATGAGGAGGATTCCTATTGAAATTGTGAATTTTAATTATTAGATTTTGATATTGTGTTAATTTAAATTTTATTAATTAATTTTAAATTTTTATTAGATAATTTTGAATTTTATAAAATTTATATCAATTAATAAATAAATACTAAAATATTGAAATACTGAAACACTATGTACATTTAAAAATAATATATATGTATAATGAACTGAAGGAGTTAGCTCTGGTAAATAAGTCACTTGGTCCGATTGGAGAGAGAGAAAAGGCAAATAGGTCCTTGGAAAAATAAATATAAGTTTTCAGTTGCAGAGATAGAAAAGAAATACATAATATAAAAAGACAAATGGGACAGAAGTAGTCGCGACATGGTTATCCTAATTGCAAAGGAAGATGGGATACTGGCAAAATTAAGTTTAGAGTTTAATTGTGTTTAGCTTTTAAAGACGCGTATTAAAATTTGACTTGTGTAGCTGGTGCTGTCTTGATCAATCAATTTAATTGCGACCCCAGTCCACACTATCGTTTCTTCAAGCTTATCCTACCTGGGCCTAAATTGAATAATTCCAAGTCATATATGTTCGTAAGAGCACACACACGGATATACATACATACATACATATACACACACACACACACACATATATATATATATAACTGTCGTTGAAGCATTGGGTATTAATTCTTGAGTGGCAGGAGGGACAAAAGAAAATGAAACCCGGCAGCAGCTCGCTTAAAATAGGTAGAAATGCCATGGAGAAAAAGCGAAGAATGCAAATGAATCATCTTTTTTCCATCCTTTCCTCTCTCATCTTTACCCAAAGATTCAAGGTCTCTCTCTCTCTCTCACACACACACACATGAAAACACAAACAAAAGAAGTGAATGATGAATATTGCTTTTGTTTTTTTGATCAGGAAAGAATAGCATCACCTGTTTTGTTGGAGCAAGCGATTAACTATATAGAAGGACGGAAGAAAAACATAAAAGAATTGCAGAGAAGGAAGGAACAACTCATGGGTACTGGTCAGACTAGTGGGAATAAGCATAGCATGGAAGGGTTGGCGTCACCGGTACTTGAAGTTGAAGAAATGGGCTCATCTTTGGAGGTGAAATTGATTACTGGTTTCAATAGAAACTTCATGTTGCATCAAGTTCTAACTGTTCTCGAGGAAGAGAATGTTGAAGTTGCGAGTGTCAACTCCTCTACTATGGGTGACAGGATCTTGTATACAATCCATGCACAGGTATATTAATATATATAGACATATACACACACAAACATGCATAATACCATAATCACTTTTTGAATCCCACGTATTTAATGAACCTATTCTCATGGAATACGGAGTACTAGAACTTGGGATACGAGGACCCACATCCCTAGTGGGTTTTCCTCTTTTTTTTTCTTTTTTTTTTTTGGACAAGACTTTCCTAATCATCTACTATGTAATAAATAAGAAAATCAGATAGGGTGATTGAATTTTTTTAAAAACAAAATTATTATACTTATTTATCACTTTCCTGTCAACAGTGAGTAGAGTGTCTTGTCCCCCAGTATTATATCTATACTTTCTAATTTTTTTCATAATTTTTACAAATATATATATATTTTTATTTTTAAGAGGTATTTGATATTTCTTATGTACTTCAACTATGTATCTAATGCTTTTAAGATACTTTAAAATACATTTTAAACAAATCTTGAAGTTTAAAATGTAACTTTTTCAATACTATAACCACTAAAAAAATTCAAAATTTATTTATTTTACTAATATTGTTATTATTTATTTTATTATTTGTTGGAGTACACTACTACCTCTTATCAAAGTCATAACAAAATTCTCGCAAATTATCATGTATTTCTCATTGACAAGATTATTAACAGTTGATCTATATATACTTTTGCAGGCTATTTGGCCAAGAATTGGCATAGAAATTTCACGAGTGCAAGAAAGACTACAGAATCTTGTCTTCTCAATTATGTAATGTTTTTACCATCAAAAGTTGTAATCCCCATATATCTCTTCTATGTAAAAAGTCAAAAATTTAAGTAAAAAAATAAATCAGTGTGTGAGTTTCTTAGGTTAAAAATAAAATAATAATAATAACCCAATGTAATATTTTTGTTCGTTCACAATTTTTTTTTTAAATATCAATTACGCATTACTCATATAAGTCAGGATTGCAGTTCGAAAGCGAAACCTCAAAAACTTACTCTCCAGATCCCTACCAATACCTATATATCTCATAAGCCAGAATAAGATATGTGATGTGTAAATGTTTGTCTATTTTATGTATCATTTTTATATATTTAGTTATTGTTCACTAGCCATCAAATATGGGTTAATTGCACTCACTTTGTTTGAGATTTGCTCAAATTACATTTATTGTCATTAAATTTTGGTAGTCTCCTTAGGTGATGATTTTATTTATTTATTTATTTTTTCCCGCATGGTGGTGAATTATTAATATTGCAAAATACAACTCAAAAATTCACTTTGAGCATTGATAGATGGGCAATCAAACTCATAGGAATCATGTTTCACGACATCAAAGTATTGAAAGTTATATATAACAATTGTTTGTCCATAAAGTAACATCCTCAACCAACCATGTAATCATCTCTGTCCAATCATAAATCCAAAATATAAAAAGTTATTTTTGAAAAATTATATCCTAAATTTAAAGGCATATATTAATTAATACGGTGAGTGTAGAATTTGATAATATTATCAAAATGAATTATTACAATATATTTCTATAATTTCATTCATGAAAGTTGGTTAGAATTTTAATTCGTATCTCTGAATCTTCTTCATTGGAATCTTGAATTTTGTCACGGAAAATTTTGTTGAAAGTTCAGCAAATTTTTAAAATGTCAACGAGAATATTAAAAAAAAAATTGAAAGATAAGATGTATACAGTCTTATCTTCACACAGAGAAAAATTTTAAATTTTGAATCTTTTACTTAATTTTATTAAAAATTCAACCACTTTAGTACCATGTACTTTTCTTGTAAACCCAAGAAAAAGTCGAACAACAAAGTATAAAAGGGATACTAAGCAATTTTGTGTATACAAGTTAGTGGTCAAGCCACCTTTGTAATTAATCACAGTTTGATTTTTTCTTTCATTCCGTTGGCTGCATTATTAACATTCAGACCCAAATAGTTTGGACCACCGAGTTTCTGTTGAAGACTTGAGGTGTGAATGCAGAGTAAAACGATACAATAAGCCCGAGACAAATTAGAAGTGTTGTACTTATTGACATAGTCAAAGATTCATGAAACTGCTGGGAGATAAAGAACAATTCACACATGGACAGTACTGCCATTTGCAGCTCTCGATCTGCACACATGTCAGAAGTTAAATTAGTTGCATAAGGATTAGGCCTACTTGGAGGATAATGCACACTCATAAATGCATTGAAATTATTATTATTATTATTATTATTATTATTTTGTGAATAGGATTTATTTGGTTAGTAAATTTGGTTTATGAATGAATTGATGATGATAATAAAGTTTTGATTTTTTTTTTAAAAAAAATTGTTTCATTTAAATATGTTGTTATAACCTTTAAAAATAAGTGTCTTTATTATGAATTGACTTTATTTGGTTAGTAAATTTGGCTTATGAATAGATTGTTGTTGATTATAAAAATTTGATTTTTTTTTTTTTTTAAATTGCTTCATTTAAAAGAAATATATATTTTATATATGGCAGCAGCGATGGGCAATATTGGAATTAACTGACTAGGTGTTCCTTTTTCAGAGTCTTTCAATGCTTGACTTTGTTCCTCCAAAAACCTACAATGAAAGAAATACAGAAGATTTATTGACCAAAAAGTTTGCTTTGGAAATTATTTGTAAGTTTTTATTTTTATTTTTATTTTTATTTTTATTTTTTTGACACTAACAAATCATTATATTTTTATGTCTTAATTCCATACTATGTTTGGTTTTTAATTTCACAACCACCCTTCAACTATTAATATCAAGACATGTATAGGATAATGATTACCGATAAAGCTCTAAAAATTAAACATAACACCTCTTACCAAAGGCTGTCTAGGATATGTGCCCTCTACTTTGGGATTCCAATTATAGATGATGATGCGACTTCCTCCAATTAAGCAAAAATAGTCCAGCACATTTTTCATTTCCATCATGATTTTTAGGGCTATGTGAAATATTTTCTAGAATTAATTAAGCTATTTATCACTCTTAGAGTTTATGTTATTTTTATCAAATTCAAAATTTATTGTAAACTTTTTATAAATAACTAGAAAAATAATTTTTTATTACAGTTAAAAATAATTTCTACCACGATTTTGAACCATGGTGATAATAGTCATGGTAGTAAATAGACATCTTTCTACCACCGCTCTAAGCCGTGGTAGAAAAAACTTTTTAGTGGTATATTAAAAACTATCTAATTAAGGAGGGCCTTTTTTTTTTTATTTTTTTTTCTACTCCTACTACACTGTAGCCTTACAAGGACCTAACAGAAGCAAACCCTAAATTAATAAAAAAAACAGCATCATAACCAAAATAACTTACAACTGGCCAATATCATATATATATATATATATATATAAAACCAATTACAAATCATGATTTTACACAAAAATTAAGCATATACAAATTTCGAAGAAGTAAATAATTCACACCTTATATTTTTACTTGACCAAAATAAAACAAAAATTCTTACTCTGTTTTAGTTTCTCTCTTCCATGCAACTTCTTCGTGAGTCATACAAAAAATAGTGGCAATTTTGTGTATACAAGTTTGATTTTTCTCTTTCATTCCATTGGCTGCATTACATTCAGACCCAAATAGTTTGGACCACTGAGTTTCTGTCGAAGACTTGAAGTGTGAATGTAATAGGATACTATAAACCCGAGACAAATTAGAAGCATTGTACTTATTGTACCAAATTCAAGTGATCATAAGGACATAGTCAAAGATTCATGAACCTGCTGGGAGATTAAGAACATGTCACACATGGACAGTACTGCCATTTGCAACTCCGGATCTGCACACTTGTCAGAAGTTAAATTAGTTGCATAAGGATTACACGTACCTGGAGGATAATGCACACTCATAAATGCATTGTAATTATTATTATTATTATTTTTTTTTTGGGTTCATATTATTGTGAATTGGATTTATTTGGTTTATGAATGTGACTTGATGATGATTATAAAGTTTTAATTTTTTTAAAAAAAAAAAATTGTTTCATTTAAATATGTTGTTATAACCTTTAAAAATAAGTGTCTTTATTGTGAATTGAGTTTATTTGGTTAGTAAATTTGATTTATGAATGGATTGATGTTGATTATAAAAATTTAATTTTTTTTTAAAAAATTACTTCATTTAAAAGTGTCATTTTTCGGGCTACCATAGATTTTTTTATATATGACAGTTATCGTTGGACACAAGTTAATAAGTTATGACAGCAAATACAAATACAAATGTTAAACAGCAAATAAATGGTAGAGATCATAATTGTTGCAGTGATATTTGAAGGGCAATATTGGAATTAAATGACTAGGTGCTCCTTTTTCAGAGTCTTTCAATGCTTGACTTTGTTCCCCCAAAAGCCTACAATGAAAGAAAAAAACAGAAGATTTATTGACCAAAAATTTTGCTTTGGAAATTATTTGTAAGTTTTTTTTGTTTTTTATATCATTTTAAAACACTAACAAATCATTATATTTTTCTGTCTTAATTCCATACTATGTTTGGTTTTTAATTTCACAATCACCCTACAACTATTAATATCAAGACATGTATAGGATAATGATTACCGATAAAGCTCTAAAAATTAAACATAACACCTCTCACCAAAGGCTGTCTAGGATATGTGCCCTCTACTTTGGGATTCCAATTATAGATGATGATGCGACTTCCTCCAATTAAGCAAAAATAGTCCAGCACATTTTTCATTTCCATCATGATTTTTAGGGATATGTTAATATTTTATAGAATTAATTAAGCTATTTATCACTCTTAGAGTTTATGTTATTTTTATCAAATTCAAAATTTATTGTAAACTTTTTATAAATAACTAGATAAATAATTTTTTATTACAGTGAAAAAAACTTTCTATCACGATTTTGAACTTTGAACCATGGTGATAACAACCATGGTAATAAATAAACAACTTTCTACCACCATTCTAAACCGTGGTAGAAAAAAACTTTTTAGTGGTATATTAAAAACTATCTAATTAAGGAGACCCCCCCCCCCCCGCCCCCCCCCCTTCATTTTTCTTTTTTTTCCCTACTCCTACTACACTGTAGCCTTGCAAGGACCTACCAGAAGCAAACCCTAAATTAATAAAAAAAAATCATAACCAAAATAACTTACAACCGGCCAATAACATCATATATATATATATATATATATATATAACCAATTCCAAATTATGGTTTTACACAAAAATTAACCATATACAAATTCAAAGAAGTACATGATCCACACCTTATATTTTTACTTAACCAAAATAAAACAAAAACTTTTGCTCTGTTTGAGTCTCTCTCTTCCATGCAACTTCTTCATGAGCCATACAAAAAGTATAGTGGCAACAAAAAGAGTAACAGCAAATGCAATCCTAGTTATGACCTACAAAGATATAATAGTTAAAATACGAGAGAATATAAAGTAAGTTGTAAAGTTGCCAAAATTAAACCAAGTTAGGAAGCCTAAGCAAAGTCCGCTTGAATATATATGGTAGTTCTAAAAATTAATGTCATTTACACAACATGCAGCCTATGTAGACAAGTGAACGCAGGCAGAGCATTCCATTAATCCCACTCCAAACCACAACAATTTCCCCACCTCCATTTATGCACAATAATTAAAATAAAAAAAATGGTCACTTTGAAGAGGAACTGAAGAAATAAAATGGTACAAAGGGCAGAGATAACATGAGAAAAAGGACACACAAGCACAAGGTAGGACAAAAAACTAAGCTTAAAGGTAAAGAACACAACAGAAAGAAAAGAAAATAGAAAAAATAGGTTTAAAAATCATACTTACCTGACAACTCTACCTTATCTCTGTATAATGCTTTACCAAACTATATTGAAGATCCTGCAGTAAGCATGTAACAGATATCTCAGGGTCATAGGTTTGAAACTTGCATTTCAGAGCGACTAGTACATTTATGAAACCTGAAGTACCTGCCAAATGCCATTCCCTTTGGAAAGGGGAACAATTATATAACTCTAATGCCCTAGACAAAATATACCCCAACTAGAATTAGTAAGACTTTCAGAGTTTAACTTACTAGAATGCATTTTGCTGATAAATAGGTGATGCTCTTGAAGCAGATAGTCGGCATGTGCATTAAATTCAGTGAACCAAAAGGATGAAAAACGTCATAGTTATCTCCTCAATAGATTGATTCCAACAAATTACAGGAGTGAACCACATCTTGAAAGGTATCTTGTTAATTTTACAGTTGAACAATTTCATAGAACATATGTTACACTAAGACTGGCAAACAAAAAGTGCTTAGTAAGTAGACATATTGTGTAATCTCAATTCGTTAGACAGATGGAAAAAAGAACCTGGTGTCGTCACTGAACCAGGGCACGAAATGCAGTTGTTTGAATTTCCTAAGCATGTTACTGTCTAATGTTCAACATACTTACACGTTAAAATTCCTTTAATAAACTTCTTGCCTACTTGGACCAAACCTAGAACCGTAAGCATGAACTTCAAGTTTTCTAATGAGGCACAACAACCATAAGCATGAACTTCCTACAATAAACAAATAAATCAGAAGGAAGCCCAAAAATCTGTTTGAAACAGTTTTTCCCAGCAAAATGTACTTCCCTTTGAAAATTCATAAAAAAATAAATTCTCAACCAATTTGCATGAAACCAAAGCCCATTGGAAGCTTAAAGACTAAATTTTCCTTCTATCAATTTAAATCAATATATTTTCTTACCGATTAAATTAGGTTTGAAGGAAAATATAGGAAATATTCTGCTCACAAAACAGTTTTGACAGCATGTTAACATCAACTTCGAAAATCCACAGTAATTTCAAAATTCAATCAATTTGAGCCAAACGAAAGCTTGTAAACTCATTAACAATTGTACTTTCATATCCAAAATATAATTTAAAAGATAACAGTTCTAAGTATAGAGATTTCAATTCTAAAATCAGCATGTTTGGTTTCATTTTCCAACACAACTCTTCATTTAAATTCTAACAATTCTTCAACTAATTTCATGCCAATATGAAGCAAAAACAAGGCAATACAAATTAGTAGTCCGTAACCAAATCTAGAAAAATGAAACTGAGTAGGGGGTTTTGCTGTTGGATTGTAAAATTAAGCAGCAATCCCCTTTCTTTCATTGATTGCTGATAGTGTGGAGAATGTAATCTTTTCTTCTTTTGTCAATACATACTTCTTGTTGGGATGCACTCATCAGGACAGAAAATATAAGCAGAAAAAAGGTAAATTAAAGCACAAATATATCTATATATGCATTTATATAGAGAGAGGCTACACAAAAAGCTAGAGGAATATAGAGATGAATGAGGAATTTGAGAAACAGCAACTGCCTCTATGGTTGAAGAAGAGAAATGGGAGTTAAGAAAAGACGACAAATAAGAAGGGTACCTGGGCAATTATCCTCTGTGATGGAAAACGAAGCTCCGAGCAATTAAGAGATGAAACTCGTGAAGGAGGATTTACAGTGTTTGGGATTCAGAGAGACAAAGGGATTCAGATAATTTGGGTAGGAGGGGGTTAGGGTTTCTATGATGGATTCAGAGAATTTGGGTAAGAAAGGTTAGGGTTCTATTAAAAATATTCTTGCCCAAGTAGTGGAGAACTACTCACTCCTGCTACGCAAAGAGCATCGAAGACACAGGTGATGAGAACTCTCCAAAGAACGTCCAAACGCCGATATATATGGATGTTCAGGGTATTGAGAGCAGGCTATGGCTGTTCTTAGGGCGAATTGAAAGAGAAAAGTAATTAGGGCTTAGGAATATTTTGATAGCAAGAGAGAATTTAAGGTTTGCTTACCGATCAGACAAACGGCGAACGAGAGGGCATACTTTGATGGCGAACTGAAAGAGCGTCAAGGAGAGAGAGAGGAAATTAGGGCTTAGGGCGATTTGTCATAGGCGAGAGAGACTCAATACAATGTGTGTGTTTTTAATACAATGTGTGTTTTTTACCCTTTCAATACAACTCTATTCCCTCTATGGTATCAAAGCCAAGAAGTTCAAACGAGCAAGAAACCCAATTCCGTTCCATGGCTAAGGAAGTTTCTCAAAATACCCAGACCCCTTTGGGTATTTCTTCCTCCCACCAATCTGGTATAGACAATACTTGTCACGCCCCGAATTCACCTCGTGTATGAACGAATAACCGTAAACCCGACCCAAATTCTGAGTCCAAATGCGGAAGCTAAGACCCACATTAGCCCACATAGCTAATGTCACTGTAAATCAGTGGTGGATCTAGGGAGGGGGGGTGGCGAGGGAGTGGGTTTGGGCACCCCCCAGATTTTTTTATTTTTTATAGTATAGATATATTTAGTTCAATGTTTTAAAAAGAAAAAATTAGTAGTAGTATTAGCCCTCTCAATTTTAACCCATCCAAACAAGTCTAATATCTAAGCCACAATTTTAAAATAATAACCCAACCAAATAGGCCAAAGCCAAACAAGCCCTAAATAATCACTAAGCCAAAGTACAAAGAATTCCTAAATTTTTAATCTTGCACAAATCAGAGAGCTTACTCATTCTCTTTCTCTAAACTCTAACCCTATTTCCTCTAAAATTTTCCAACTCTTTAATCTTTTTATCCCCAATTCTCCCTTGTTTAATATTAGTCCCCCCATTAACAATTCTTAAATTCGCCCTTGCTATGAATGGTGAGTCAATGAAGTTCATTTGAGTCCTACTAAATATTTAAAAACATCCTACAAGGTCCTAGACATTAGAGGAAAAGTTTCCTCACTTATAGGCATTCTAAAACTAGGAAATATAATGACTATGCCTCACTAAAATGGTTATGCATCTCTCTTCATTGGAAAGCTGACTTCAATACGCTCAAAATTGAGCATAAGAATGACATAATTTGAATTTAAAACGAGTGAGATACATATGGCCGTTCAAAGTTGACTTGTCAAAACTGTCCTCGTTGAATTAAGGAGGTTTGGTCGGCCGGCATTTATCCATCAGTCGGTCGAAAGTGCTATTTCAACCGACCGACACCCATCATCACCCGCAAAGAGATGAATGTGGTATATTTATTTTCTCAAATCCGTTTCCGGGTGAATGAGAAATTAGCTCCAAAGTAAGGTGTTTGATAAGCTTAAATATGTATGTAAAATGTGGAAAGTATTTGTCCCACATTGAAAATATAATGAAACCAATTGGAGTCTAAATAAGCCAAGTTTAGGATTTGGGTTTGTGCCCAAGGGCACCCAAGTTTTTAAGAGGGGAAGGACCTAGGCAAGCTTGGATTAAAACCATTTACCACACGCGCGCGCCCAACCCGACCGGGCCGGTCCGAGCCTAGGATTGGGCTTGGGGTTAATTGTAAAATCTGATTAATTTTTTATTAAACGGATTTTTTAGATAAGGCTTTGTGTTTGGTTTAATTTTATTTTGGGCTAAAATTGCTTTAATGGGCTTCACGAACTGGGCCTTGAATTTTTGGGCTAGAATTAATCTCGTGGGCTTCATGAATGGTTGTGTCTATTCTGAACGAATGCATCCAAGAGTTGCAACTGGTGTGAACCATTGCAACTATTGCGAACCAGTGCCAATGAACCATCATGTCCCATGGTTGCACCTACCCGAAAAGACACCTTGCTGCCTATAAATACCCCCCTTTGGGGTCATTTGCAAATCACTTCCAAATTCAGAATTCTTCTTATCTAAGTCTGAATTTTTCTCCTTTTCTCTTTTTTTGCATACATTTAACAATAGTGTGAGTTTGAGTTCGGTCTGTAGGAGAGAGTACTACACCAAGCCAATTCTCCCATTTCTTTGGTTTGCAATGCTGCTACCGAAGAGAGAAAGGTCGTTGTATCCTGGGAGATAAATGCTACTGAATCCGTCAGCACCATAGCATGGCAAATCTGTCTTAAGGAGAAAGACCTGATTAGTAAGTTATTTTATATAGTTTTATTTTATTATATATATATATATATATAAATATAATTTTTTAGAAAATTATATATATTATTATTGTAATATAATAATTATATATATATATATATATATATATATATATATATATAATTCTTTTTACATAATATTTAAATAGTAATACTATAGTATATTGTACACTTAAATAATTTTGAGCAACACTCCAGTCGATCCATTTAACCGCTAGCTAAGTTTGCGATTCCTACTCCTTAGAAAGTCAAGATAGGACCTAAAACCTTTGATGGTATTTTCATAGGTTATGCACATAATAGTACTGCATATTATTTCCTTGTGCATAAATCAGACATTCTTGACATTCATATCAATATTATTATTGAGTCTAGGAATACTTATTTCTTTGAAGATATATTTCCTTGTAAAAATGTATAAGAGAAAAATCTTTTTAAACGTATTGTTAAAAGCATTATAGAAGAAAATATAGACCAAGAGTCTATATATGATGAAAATAAGGATGAACTTAGACGAGTAAGAGAGATAGAATGTCTAAGTCATTTGTTCCTGATTTTCTAACATATATATTGGAGAATGAGCCACAAAGCTATAAGGAAGTTATGTCTTCTTCTGAAACTCCTTTATAGAAAGAGGCCATTAATAGTGAAATTGAATCCATCATGCAAAATCATACTTGGGAGCTGGTAGATCTTCCTCCTTGTACTAAACCTTTAGGGTATAAGTGGATTTTCAAGAGAAAGATTAAGCCTGATGGTTCAATTAATAAATATAAAGCCAGACTTGTTGCTAAGGGATACAGGAAAAAGGAAGACTTAGATTCTTTTGATACATATTCACCAGTAACAAAAATAACACCGATTAGATTGTTACTTGTTATTGCAGCATTGCAAAATTTATAAATACATCAAATGGATGTTAAAACTGCATTCTTGAATGGTGAATTAGAGGAGAAAATTTATATGGAACAACCTGAAGGTTTTATAGTTCCAGGGAAAGAAAAGAAAGTGTGTAAACTTGTAAAATCCTTATATAGATTAAAACAAGCACCTAAACAATAGCATAAAAAATTTGACAAAGTGATGTTGTCAAATGGTTTTAAAATCAATGAGTGTGATAAATGTATTTATATAAAAAAAACACATACTCAATTAAAATTGATATGTCATTGTATGCCTATATGTAGATGATATGTTAATAATGGGTAGTAATGATGATATAATCAAAACTACTAAAAAGATGTTGACAAAAAATTTTGATATAAAAGATTTAGGCATAGCTGATGTCATACTAGGAATCAAGATTTCTAGAACATCGATAGTTTAGTATTATCTCAATCACACTATATTGAGAAAATACTAGAAAATTTTAATAAAGAAGATAGCAGTCTTGTAAAGACTCCTATTTATGTGAATCTTCATTTATCGAAAATACTAGTCCTTGCATATCATAACTTGAGTATTCTCGCATTATAAGAAGCTTAATGTATTTGATGAATTGTACACGACCAGACATAGCATACTTAGTTAATAAATTGAGTAGATATACTAGCAATCCAGAAAAGAACCATTGGACTGCGATAGATAGGGTTCTGAGGTATTTGAGATATACCATAAGTTATGGATTGCATTATTCAAGAAATCCAGCAGTACTTGAAGGATACAGCGATGTTAATTGGATAGCAGATACAAAGGATTCTAAATCCACAAGTGACTATGTCTTTACTATTGGATGAGGTGTCATATCTTGGAAATCTTCAAAACAAACTTGTATTGCCAGATCCACTATGGAATATGAATTTATTGTTTTGGATAAAGTTGGTGAAGAAGCCGAGTGGCTTCGTAATTTTTTAGAAGATATTCCACATTGGTCTAAATATGTGCCCGTTTTATGTATACATTATGATACTCATCAGCAATTAAAAGGGCACAAAGTAATATGTATAACGGTAAGTCTCGACATATACGTTGAAAAAATAACACCGTTAAACAGTTGCTTTCAAGTGTGATAATTTCAATAGATTATATCAAGTCTAGCTAAAGATAACTTAATGGATCCGTTTACAAAAAGTTTGACAAGAGAGCAAGTGTATAGTTCATCGAGGGGAATAGGATTAAAGCCGAAAGCTAACGAGTCATCTTAATGGAAACCCAACCTAGCTGATTGGAGATCCTAAGATTTAGGTTCAAAGGGACAACAAAAATTCTGAATGACTTACCAGAAGCACTGGGAAAATATAAATCTTCTACCCATTTTTATGATGAGACGGTGCTACCTATAACGAGGATTAGGATAAGCTATACTTTTAATGACTCTTATATCTTGAAAATTCAAGTGGGGTATGGTATAATACTCTTAATAATAGGTCACCTATATGAGTGTGAAGTGGGGCCGCTTCTATGAGAACTTCGAAGGCTAAGTTTTCTAGAGTACTCATGAAATACCAGGAGTTGTTCAGGGCCATATGAACATAACCATGAGAACTGACTTTGTACGGGAAGGAACTATTTGTTTGTTTTTGTCTTGGTTCACATCAATGACTGAACAGTTCAAGACATCATGTTCACTAGTTAGCCAGTAAATTCGATAATAATACACTAGGAAAGGTTCAAGGCCAAAAGCTACATATCCTGATGCAGTAACTTTCCAATAGTACTCTCTCTAGTGTCTCTATTTTCATCATTTACAATTGATGCCAATTTCAATTCACATGGGGGATTGTTGGAAATTGAGTATACAAAACAGAAACTTTGGATGATATTTGGAGTAGGTCCCGCTAAGAATTTTATGCAGATCTATAGATGAAGGCGTTCCTCTCCATAAGGAAATGAATGTGGTATATTTACTTTCTCAAATCCATTTCTGGGTGAATGAGAAATTAGCTCCAAAGTAAGGTATTTGATAAGCTTAAATGGGTATGCAAAATATAGGAAGTGCTTGTCCCATATTGAAAATATGATGAAACCAATTGAAATCTAAATAAACCAAGTTTGGGATTTGGGTTTATGCCCAAGGGCACCCAAATTTTTAAGAAGGAGAGGAACTAAACAAGTTTGGGTCCAAACCATTTACCACACACGCGCGCCCGACCTGACCCGACCCGGTCCGGGCTTGGGATTGGACTTGGGCTTAATTGTAAAATTTGATTACTTTTTTATTAAACGGAATTTTT